TAATCATAATAATAAACATTTATGGAAGATTTACCACTTTTCAGGTAAGGTACTATAATCTTTACATATATATCACCCCCTCGTAACAATTACAAAACAGGCAAAATGACTGCACCTATTTTACACCTGAGGGGTTGCAGCCTTAGAGAGGCCATTTGCTCAAAGTCACCAGGATGGGAAAGAGTAGAAATCAAACTCAAAGTAAATCCAATGGCCCCAGTCTCTTGACACCTAATTATTACATGAACTCTCCCCTGATTATAAATAAATATACATGTGTGTAATGCTTTTAATTAAAAATATCCTCTTTTCCTTCGACATTTTACTTTTCAGGCAGTATAGGATGCTCAGTAGAGGAAAGTATGACCTTCAGGAACTAGACTTTGGTTTCCTGCCAAGAAATTTACCTTTTATGCCAGCGTCACCACAACATCAAATGACTCGAAACTTCTTTGCAGTAGAACGATTATAGATTATAAAAGGTCAAAGAAAACAGCTTTCCGTTTTTAACTATTAGCTAATTAAGTAAACTGTTAAGTAGTTAATGCTAGAACTTGTTATTAGAGTTTACAAATAGATTAAGAACAAATAAGAATGTGTTTTTTACTTTGGAATAAAATAAAATGAGAAAGACCTGCCCATTTTACCCCTGGGAACACAAAGTGTGTTTCTTTGATAGGCAGAGCAATGAGTGGGAAGTATAATGGTCCTCACCTGGGCACAAGTCCAGTCCAGCCCCTTGTCAGCTGCATGAGGACCTCGGGAGAGGTCACTTACCCTCTCTGCTCTCAGTTACCTTATTATAGAGCAAAGGGGCCTACATGAAGTTTCTGGCTCTGATGATCTCTGGGTCTGTGATAAATTAAAATATAGAGGATAAACTTATGTCTAATAGGGCTAATAGGTTCCCAGACACAGGAATCTAACATTGTGCATGAACTCTCTCCTCTAGAAAACAGGCCCCCTGCCTTCCTCCCTAGCCTGAATGCCCCAGTTGAAATCATAGGTCTTAAACACAGCTTTCTGCTACAAACCAGCTGAAATGGCAATAGTGCTAGCAAGAATGTGATGGGAAATGGGGTGCTCTAGTTGCCAAATCAATTCCTACCTGTGCTTCTTTCTGGAACTACTAAGAGCACTGCTTTATGATTCCCTCCCCCTTTAAACCATTTTCTGTGGGATTCAGGGATCGTAATCCCAAGGATCACTAAACTAATTTATAAAATGAAAAAAAGGAAGTTATTTCCCATGCATGTAGCCTGATTTCCCCACTGACAATGCACTCACGCACTAGCTGGCAGTCCCTGGCTTGTTCTCCTGCACACCAATTGATATTCTCCTCACAACGCAGCACACAGGAGATTCAAGGCCAAACACAGATGATATACAATAGAAACAGGCTAAGAGTAGGCTGTTTACTGAGGGATGGGTCCTGTTACCTCCATCTTGTTTGGGGATAGCCAAGATCAGAAAGAGGAGGAATGGGCTCTTTGAAGGACAAACACCCATGCTAATTGTTTCAGAATTTACCTGCAGTAACTTCAAAGAACCAAGACAGAATTCTAAGCTGCATAGCTATGGCATACCAATCCCCTACCCCCTTCCTTATTCAACTTTACTCAGTAGCAGTAATAATTACATATTTAGTGTGCCAAGAATTGACACATGCTAGGTCCTACGGACTGCACAGGTTGGATGATGTCAGACCCAAGTGCTGCCCATAAGAAACTTGAAAACTGAAACTGTATCAACTGAGCCAAGCACAGTGACACGCAAGTGCAATTCCAGCACTCTGGGAGGCTAAGGCAGAAGGAGTACAGATTTGAGCACAAACTGGGTAACTTATCAACTTAGCAAGACCACATATATATATGACTGTGGGCTGGGATGTCACTCAAGGCCATTCTTAAACACTACACTCAAAGACAGGATGAGGAGAAATGTGACTAATGTTATAGATCAGACAAGATACCAAAATTGGAACATATTTTATCAATAAGTCATCACAACTACTATACTTCACAGTCAAGGGAACTGAGAGTCAGAGAGTTTAAGAATCCTGACCAAGGTAACACAGCTAGTAAATCATAACTCTGGGAGGAAGTGAACTCAGGTTCACATTGCCCTGAATGTTCCTAAAACCTGGTGTTTTTATTATATCGCATTCCTATGTTGGATGTCTGTGGCATTATGTCTGTGTCTGTGTGGATTTATATCTCTGAGAACCCTGGAATCTGAGCACGAATCAGTCTAGTTATGCAAACTGCCAGGCACATGCACTGTCCACCTTTCCCTACTTCCAAGAGTCCCTCTCCCAATGAAGGAGTCAAGATAAGTTATCACCTTTCACTTTACTGCTGGAGCTAGGAAAAGATGTGACTGTATCCTTGCCCCCACCTTTGAGTACCTTTGTCACATGATGTCCCAGCCCCATATCTGCATCTTCAGCACATTGAACCCAAAAAGTTCCAATCAGGCCACTGGGCCATAAAGAAATAAGCCTACTATGCCATTTTTCCAAAGCCTTCTCTCTGCTGCCACAGCACTGTAGTTTTAGTGCTGAGCAGTGACCTTAGCCAGCCTCAGGGGCTGAGGAGGAATCAGGGACCCAGGGACCACATGTTCCACTGAGTTCTACATTTCTTGGCACAGCCTGATTTAGGCCTGCCTTGCTTTGTCTTTTTATCCCAACTTATGAAAGTAAAAGTCATATGTCACCTTGTAACTTCTCCCAAACAAGATCCCAAAAACAGTGAAGAGATAAAAAGACAAAACAAATGACCTCTTCCTATGGAGGGGGCTATGGTTAGAGTGACTACATGACTTATGAGTCAAACTTGAATCTCCCTGAGTATGGAAAGGAGCCCATGATCAATATTTATGCCAGGACAATGAACACAACCCCGACTGTCCCACACAAGCCAAGATATCACCCTTCCTAGGCAGCAGGTAAGTTTTAGACATCCAGTTCCTTATCCTTACTCTTTTCTGTGCTGCATCTAGTGTATCAGGAGGTAGCCCTGGATGCTGTTAGAGCTTTTAATAATAGCTATGAAAAGCAAGAAGAAACCAGTCAAGAGTTCCTCCACCCAGGGGAAGGGTTGGAGAAAAGGAACAAGCCAAAGTAGAAGAATTATGTCTTTCCTGCCTGTCCTCTCTTTTCCTATTCCTTAAACCATCCCAATCCCCCTCATCCCACAGCCTTCTTCCTTGAAGTCTTTTTGCTTTGCATGATTCAAACATCATTTTAAAAACCAAATTATTCTGAATAAATTCTCTTTGCCAAAGATATTTGCATTTTAACTGTGAACAAATCCCTAAGGTCAAGGAGCTATTCTCAGCAACCTTGAGTCTATACCAGGTAAGCAGAAGCCTACTCAGTTCTCTTGTGAGGTCCCTTCATAATGAAAAAGCACCTCCCCCTTCTTAACTTTGCCAGAGGGTTTAAAGGGAATAACCTGGCCCTTATGCATAATGAATCCCCAGGATTAACTGATTCTAGGCTTAGTCAATAGAAGGTTAATGAGAGACAGACGCTGGGGATGCATGATGTGCCGGCATAGACTTCTGTGATGCCCTTTGGATGAGGGAGCCTGCTCTAGCATCCCCTATATCCTGTTGATAAAACTGAAGTTTTTTTCCCTGTAGGCAGCGAGAGCCATGCAGACGAGGGGTCTGCTGCTGGCTCTGTCTGCAGTCTAAATGACAACAGAACAACACCAAGAGAGCTTCCAGGGTATTTCTTAATTGGGTGCACAGAATCTCAAGTCTACTAATGACCATTTAAATATCAGCACCATTAGCTGCTTTGCTGTAGAACTACCTACCAGATGTGTAACAACCATATTTACTAGTCTGTTTGCAGCTGGTTGTACCTTCTCTGGGCTCATGCCCCAGTCATTGAGATGGCTGTTTTGCCATCTGCTGAAATGAGAGACACCCAGTACAACCCAGAGACACATCCTCTCACATCACACAAAATGCCCTGTGCAGGATCAGGAGGGAGGGCAGTGTCAAGGTCAAGTGATTGCAGCCATCTGATTTTTATTAAAAACAACATTTAAAAAAGAACAACCATCTTATTGCCACCAGAGTACTGTACTTTATTTTTCTGCTGGGAGAAGGAAAGTTCTCTGAATGTTTTATTCAGCAGGAACTAGAACACTGTTATTACAAACTTTCTTTCCCAAACTAATTCCCTGAGCTTATGCTGCCAGAATTCCTGCTCTCCAGGGCAGCTCTGCCTTCACTCATTGCCTTCTCAGCTTCTGCTAAGAAACCTGTGCCAGTGAGTGGCAGATCATCTTGGTGAGGGCTACAGGGCTCGTTGTGGTGCCGCCCCACCTAGCATGGGTCTGAGAAAGCCAGTAAACTGCATGGGATCACCTGAAAAGCTCAATGTTTCCTTCTGTGGCTTACCTGGGTTCTCCTCAGGCAGACATGGAGCCTGTTAAGGATCTGTGATGGTCTCCAACCACAGTGTCACATCAGGATTCTGAGTGAACCCTCCCATGAGCAGCCCCTTGTCAGCTAAATGACCCCAGAGGTCAGCCAAGGTCAGAAGCGATTAACAAAGGGAATGCAAGGGACATGGAGTACACCAAATTGTGAAAATTTTTGAGTGGCTCCAGAGGTAAGAAAGAATTGAGATGCCTGACTTTCTCCTAGAGCACTGATGGGTTGCCTGTGTGTGACTGGCCACATGGCACTTTTTGTCTCAGATGGAGCATGACAAAGGGGATACAAAGTTCTAAAAGTCATCTCCTTTTCAAAAGTTCATCCAGAAACATCACTGCTGGAGGAGAAATTCCCTCTCTCTATTTTGGGCTCGGGTAAAGCTACCACTGAAGTTCGAACATTAAAAATATGTATACATCCACATACATATTAGCCCCCAGTTAAGATGATTCAATGTACAAGTTTTTGATTTTGTGATGATGCAAAACTATCCAAGTGCAGCAGAACCATAGTTCAAATTTTGCATTTGGATCTTTCCCCAGGCTGGCGATATTCAGCACAATCCTCCCTGGAGATGCTGGGCAGTGGCAGTGACTTGCAGCTCCCAGCCAGTCATGTAAGCATGAGGAGAAATAATCCATTATGTCCTGTAGGCTAGATGTATTTGATGCCCTTTCAAATTGATATTTTTAATTTAACCACAGGTTTACTCAGCCACAATTCCATGGTAAGGTGAAGAATATCCACAGTGATGAATGACCGAAAGATGAATGAGATGCTAAAAGAAGTACCCACCCACTATGGCACTGGAGGGAAGGTCCCAATCTCAACTATCAAGACACCTTGTGCCTAGGATTGGAAGCAGACACATAGAAATCCACCAAACCCCATCTAGATTCTGAGCCCCACCCTTTCTGGATGGTTTCCAAGGATTTTGACTCAAGAATTTTGAATCAAAACTTCTATCTTTGCTTAATAAGCTTAGTAGGTTTTCCCAACTTCAGCTACACAAGAAAATTTAAATTTATGTATCAGTGACTGGGCCTCACCTAAATCAAGGGAATCAGCATCTCTTAGTAAGGCTATAGGCCTAGACAAGGATAAACCTCTGGGTGATTTTTCTGTGCATACAGCATTGAAACCATACTTCACTGGTCAATTATCAACTTTTACAGCTTTAAACAAATGTTAGGGAAGATATACTTATTACAGAACTGACTGCATGATTAAGAGGATAAATAGGATTTAGAAAATAAAGAAGCAGTCACCAAAGACAAAACATCAGTAAGGGTGAAAGCAGTAGTCACCAATGAAATTGCGGTGCCAGGTATTGTCTATTGGTGCTGGCACCAATTTCCAAGCTCTCCTATTGTCTTCCTTGTCTGAAGAGAAGGAAGATTAAAACTCTATGTCCCAGTCTTCTTTGTAGATACAGTCCCAGTAGTGTTTTAGATTCAGTTAACATGATCCACTCCTGCTACATTTGGAAGATGGAAGGATTTCTGCAGGTACAGGGAGAGGAGGCACCAGCAGAGGTGAGTGTTTGCAGCAGATGGACTCCATGTTTCACATGTTATCATTGGGTACCAGTGTGGAGGATGTGGGAATGGCACTACAACCAGTGCCAGATCTCTTGATTTTTGGATTGTAGGTAGTGGTGTAACCTCAAAAGCAAATGTTAGATGGCAGCCTCTGATTGCTGCACTTCCAGCCTTTTCAACAATTTTTTAAGCACTTAATTCTCTGTGTTAAATCCTTTTCTTGTAATACCTAGAGTTGCTGGTTGCTCATGAGCCCATTTTCTTTTCTGCTGCACACCCGCTAGATATTATGGCTCCCAGTGTCCTTGCAGCTAGGTGGAGCCCTATGTTAATGGGTTGTGAGCAAAATGTTGGACACCACTTTTAGACCACATAAAATCCTTCATGTTCTTTACCCTCCAGCTGCATCATGAGCACAGTGACCTTGTAATCTATAAATGGACATGGTGAAGATGCAAAATGGAATGAGTCTGGGGTCCTGAATCACTGCTTGGAATAGAGGCATCTTGGAAGAGGTTTCTCCCATCACAGTGGCACCAAACAAAATGACAACTGGATATAAAGGGGAGACAAAAGGTGTTGGGAATGAGTGAGATGTTAAAAGAAACAAGGACACAGTGTTAAATCAGTGGACCCTGATCAGTTTAGGGAGAAAAAACTTGCTGTTGGGATAAGCCACCAAGAGAATCACCTTTATCTAACAGCACTTAGCAGAATAACAGTTAAAAGAAGTTGTTTCTGTTCTTACACTGAACCGTAACTGAAATAGTCACCAAAGTAAGAATAAATCACCAGTAAAATTGATGCAGAAAGCATTATTAGGGACTGAGAATATAGCATGTGCAAAGTCTTGTGTTCAATTCCTATTACCACAAAAAAAAATTTTTGTCACAAGTGAAAAAGAACACATGAGTTGGCAGAATCCAACTTTAAAAAAAAAGAGAGATTTAGTATCTATGTGGGACAACAAATGTGTTAATTAGCTCAGTAGTGTCAATCATTTCACAATGGATATGTAATAAAAGTTTTGCACTTTGAAGACATACATTTTTTACTTGTTGTTTTCAAAAACACTGAAGAAAAAAGATATTTGAGAGACCCTGCATCATAATAAATTCTCTGGGCAAAGGTACAGGAACGAAATTCTTTTGGTGGCAGATAAACTTTGGCCTGTCCACTATTCCAACCTCATCCTCTGCCTCCTTCTACATCCAGTAAGCTCCAGCCAAGCCACTTGGAAGTACACACATACACACACACACACACACACACACACACCATAGATCTCACTATATTACTCCTTGGAGGAAGTTGAGATCTGGGAAACTATCCTCACAGAGGAACTTGGCTCCAAGCAGTCCAGGGATGACACCCAAGAAAAAAACTTTCTTTGGGATGGACTGAAAACCACCTTTCCCCACTGTGGACATTGATTCCAAGGGCTGCTCCCCCTGGATGAATTCCAGGAACAGATGCAGATCTCAGAGACAAGTGGGCACATCCCAAGCTACAGATGTGGGGCCTGGCAACTGAACTGACAACTCAAATAGCATTTCTCACCCACAAGCCAGGCCAGCTTGTCTGTTCCACTGACTGGGAGCGTGCCTTAGAAATCTGCTCATTTTTTGAATTGTGTCACAATTCACCCTTTTGTTGTTCTGGAACACTCTGGAGCACAGGAGGCCAATTGCCCTTCATAGAGTGACATCTGTTTGAGATGAGCAAAGTCTCAGACCCAGAACCTCTCTATGTCATCCTGAAGGCAACACATAGTCATTCCTCCCTCCTTTGCCAGACTTCCCTTTTCAGTAGTCCACAAACCAAGAAGAGGGGAAAATACACTATCAAGGTTAGTGATGTAAAGGAACCCCAAGAGATAAGTGCATTTTACTAAAAGCGGAGTACAAAATAAGTATCCATTCCTCTTCGAAAGACTGATAACTCTTGTTGACTATAGCAAAGAAAGTAGGAAAACATATGTATCTAATTTAGTCTTATCTACAGAAAGGGATGGAAAGATAAAAAGAAAAGGGCAATAGGTTATTTCTTCTGTTCATATTGGCCTGTCTTTTGGAGTCAAAGTATAGAAACATCAGCTTTGAGGATCAATTGAGATGATGTTTCTTTGGAACTCCTCAAGGCCAAAATGCACCTGCTTTCAAGAGTCACTAATTGCAACAACTATTATAGGGAGAAGATGTAAACTCTAATCCCAGTTATTTTTATATCTTGTCAATTCAATGATCCCTCTGAACCAGAAATTTCAAATAAGAAACTGATAATTCTTTGTTAAGGGCAGAACGTGTGCCAGTGACCTTACTAGACACTTTATATACTTAGTATCATTTAATTCACAAGATAGGATTCTGAGCTAGGTGATTTTATTCCATCTTACATAAAAAATGACATTGAGTTTTAGAAAAGTTAAGGGCAGCCCCCCCAAACCATTTCACTTATAAGCAGTGAAAAGAGTCAAACCCATTTTTGTATTATTGAATCCTTTGCTTACAACCACTCTGTGCATCAGTGATTGGTAGGAATGCTTGAGACATAGGGTAGAGATTTGGAAAACAAACCTTGAACATGGCTAGTAGCAAGAAACCATCCATGCTTTGCAAGTGCTGCCTGATAAGTCTGACTGATGCCAAGAGCTAGACCCTTCCCCTTCATGGCACTTCCAGACCATTGGAGAACAATTATAAGGGCAGTAGTTTACCACAGCTCTCAACAACCACCCATGCAAGAAAAATAATAAAAAATACAGGGATCCCCAAGATCACCCAGAAGTGTCCAGTTATCTTCTGAGGTGATTTGAACCTGCTGATTCCTTCAAAAGGAAAGCTGAAGAAGCTCGACTTAAAAGGCTACACTCTAAGTTATTCCATGTCTAGAAGTTCTGAAAAAATTAAAAGTGCTGTGTAGGGAGAAACTACACATCAGTGCCTACCAGAAGCTGGAGGGTGGGGTAGGAATTAACTGCAAAAGGGTATAAGAGAACATGTTAGAGATGATGAAATTGTATTATTTTCTAATTGTGGTAGACTTTATATGACTGTACATTTGTCAAAACTCATTGAATTGCCATCCCACTGCTCCTGGCCCAGAGGAAGGGGCTTCCTAGCCGCCGTCCATCCTGCTGCACCTGGTCCAGAGGAAGGGGCTTCTGAGATGCTGTCCCACTGCTCCCAGGTCAGAGAAAGGGGCTTTCGGGCAGCTGTCCATCCTGCCACTCCTGGCCCAGAGGAAGGGGTTTCTGGGCCACCATCCATCCTGCCACTCCCAGCCCAGAGGAAGGGGCTTCTGGGCTGCTGTCATACCCGCCACTCCTAGCCCAGAGGGAGGGGCTTCCAGGCTGCTGTCCATCCCCCTGCTCCTGGCCCAGAGGAAGGGGCTTCCAGGCCACCATCCATCCGGCTGCACCCAGCCCAGAGGAATGGGCTTCTGAGCCACTATCCCACTGTTCCCAGCTCAGAGGAGGTAAGCTGTGTGGGTGTTAACAGCACCCACCCCCCGCTCCCAGTCCGAAATGAGAAGACATGTAAACAAGTCTCAAAACCAGACTTCCAGATCACCTACAGCAACCCCAAAGGGAAATGAGATGGAACACTCTAATACTC